CCAACTAATCCGATCAGAGTTGTAACAATATATATTGCACTATTCTTCGCCGGAACAGTATAAGTACATCTTGATGGTTGACATTCATTGTAATAATTCTCATATATACTTGAATTCTTCCATTCTTCAACCATCAACTGATCAAGAACATCTGCAATTGTTGAGTTTTCCAAATACTGGATTGACAGTGATATATCAAGAGCTGTCACATTCATAAGTGTAGACGATCCCAAATATGATTGTAGTTTATTGATGCAGGTTTGATTATAAAAACATTGAAGATCAGACTGAAGTAGTGATTCAATTATATAACATCCCGTATAAAGACCTGGCACAGAGAATAATATCGTATCGTTGGCTAAATCATACATTGGAGATTGACTAATGCATGTAGCCGAAGAAGTGCACGTACAGTTGCCGTACCACCGTGCAATTCGAGCCATAGCACCACCAGATTCATAAAGGAGGTAATTAGTTAGGTGACCACTGAATAAGCTGTTACTTTGAGTTGTTTTTCGTATCGTAGCAAGTGATAACAAAAACCCATTTGTTGCTGATGATTTGAATTGAGAAACAAATGCATCAGTTTGTAGTTGAAATACATTTGATGGTGTTACAGATGCACTCACATATTGATTTGAGTAGAACTGAATTAAACTATTCGATATTGTTTGATTCACTAATGTACACAATGCATTCATAGTTTGAAATGTAAATGTACTTGTTACTCGAAAGTCGGTGTAATTTAGTTTACTGTTTTCAGACAGCGTGGCAAGATAATCGATCCATTGTTGTGTAACAAAGTCACTATCACATATGTGATGTAGCCTGTATTGAATTTGAACAAATTTGTTATAGTTGATTGATATTTGTGTGCATTCACATGTTAATGTTTGACTATATGAGTTATATAGTTGTGTATATTTTTGGATAGAAGGTGCTTTGATATTAACTGTTTCTGTAATATTTATCAGTGACGTATATAAGAGAAGAATAGATAATGATATAATTAATAATAAGATGAATAATTTTGTTGAAATGCGTTGGTTTCGAAGTTGATATTCACTGGTACTTGGCGGAACAGATGGAAATAAATTGAAATTTGAAACGAAAAGCTTTGTTTTTTCGTAGAATGTTCGAACGCGTTCATTGATACTCATCACTTAAAAAGAATCACAAAAACAAGAAGTCACCTTATAGAGAAGAAAAAAAATGATTAATTTCTATGAAAAAAGGTTTATAAGAAGTGTTGATGTATAGCACTAACAACTCTAGTCTTCCCACTCCGTTCAATAGAATATAATAGATATTAAGTGCACAATGACGATACAAATGATTAAGTAAAGATGTGAGTATTGGTGTGCAAAGTGAGAAGACTGATAACCATTCACATACACTCATACTCGAACAGTTAACATATGGTATTGTACTAATCATGGGATATATATACGTCAATCCATACCCTGGCTCATCTGTACATAAATCTTGTGATAATGTCTCGGAAGTTCAATAAAAGTACAAACATCGGCGGTATTAGTGTGTTATTGAACGAGAAATAAATATGTTTACTTCTCACATTATTACCTTCTATAATGCACACAGAACAATTTTCAGTTTGATCTCACCTGTCTCTGTTCTCTCGAATTCTTTTTTTTCTTCTAATCAACATCACCAAACATGGTACTATAAATTTTAATGCTGTAATCAAACCACCCAATAAACCAATCAACGTTGTAACAATATATATTGCACTATTCTTCGCCGGAACAGTATAAATACACCTTGATGGTTGACATTCGCTGTAATAATTCTCATACATGCTTGAATTCTTCCATTCTTCAACCATCAATTGATCAAGAACATCTGCAATTGTTGAATTTTCAAAAAACTTATTCGACAATGATATATCAAGAGCTGTGACATTCATAAGTGAAGATACTTGAAAATATGATTGTAGTTTATTGATGCATGTTTGATTATAAAAACATTGAAGACTAGATTGAAGTAATGATTCAATTATATAACATCCTGTATAAACGCCTGGAACATTAAATAATACTGCGTCGTTCAATAAACCGTAAATTGCGGATTGACTAATGCATGTAGCTGAAGAAGTGCATGTGCAATTACCATACGAGCGTGAATTTGGAATTAAAGAATATCTAGTTGATAAATAGAATCCAAAATTAATTAGTTCACCAGAGAGTAAAGCATTGCTTTGAGTTATGTTTCGTATCATAGTAAGTGATAACAAAAATCCATTTCTTGTTGATGATATAAATTGAGATATAAATGCTTTAGTTTGTAGTTGAAATACATTTGATGGTGTTACAGATGCACTTACATATTGATTTGAATAGAACTGAATTAAACTATTCGATATTGTTTGATTCACTAGTGTACAAAATGCGTTCATAGTTTGAAATGCAAATGTACTTGTTACTCGAAAGTCGGTGTAATCTAATTCATTGTTTCCAGACGAGGCTGCAAGATAATTGATCCATTTTTGTGTAACAAAGTCACTATCACATATTTGATGTAACGTGTATTGAATCTGAATAAATTTCTTATAGTTAATCGATACTTGCGTACAATCACATGTTAATGTTTGACTATATGAGTTATATAGTTGTGTATATTTTTGGATAGAAGGTACTTTGACATTAACTGTTTCTGTAATATTTATCAGTGACGTATATAAGAGAAGAATAGATAATGATATAATTAATAAGAAAATGAATAATCTTGTTGAAATGCGTTGATTTCGAAGTTGATATTCACTGGTACTTGGCGGAACAGATGGAAAGATATTGAATGTATATAAGTATTCTTTTAAGTTGTGTAATATACTGCATTTTGATTCTCGTTCCAATGTTTCTTAACAAAGAAAGAGTATTAGAAAACGTGTAATGATAGAATATTAATAGTACATAAAAATTTATCTGGACAATCTTCTATTTATTAAGATCCTCTGAATTCTGGACAGATTATTAATCTTTCAAATATTTAATAAAAGTTGACTGTAATATATCTCTAGTCTATTTCATCTGTAAAAGGTATATTACAGTACATCTGTTGATGTCATGTTGAAAAAGTGATATTTCATTAGCTAACTTTGCCCCGGGATGTTCTTAATTGTAGACTGCTATGAATAGTAGGATAAAATATCATTATTGTCTCTAGATATTAAGCATCATACGTGAATCATGTAGGACCTACATACATGCAATTAGACTAGAAAGAACACTTTTATCTTAGATTGGTGTGGAAATCGAATATTATGCACTTTAATACAAATGATAGTACTGATGTGTAAAGATAGAAATGACCATTTAAGCATATGATAGTATTTTAGAGAAACAGGTATAAATTCATTTATTTGAAGTTTCTTAATCGAGTAGTTCTCTTCTATTTTGTTCTATGATTTCCTTTACTTATCTAAATAAAGAATACTGTCAACAAATCACCCATGTAAATGTAGCTCTTACAAATACTTAGGTCAATATTTTTGCATTATTTTACTAAATCTATTAGAACGACATTCTCATTCATTTAACATCGCCTCTTCTTTTTCCTCTGCATTCTATATAAAACACTGCTCAAGCTACTTTCTTCTCTTACCAGTTTCTGGTTTTCGTTCTTTGTAAATGCGTTTCGTTACGAACTTGACCAATATAGGCGTTATCAATTTTAATACTGTAATCAAACCACCAACTAATCCGATCAGAGTTGTAACAATATATATTGCACTATTCTT